TGAAATCCTACTCGATTGGGGAAGAAAACGAAACATGCCTTATAAAGTGTTAAACTTTTCCCTAGACATGTAAAAAACATTAAGGGAAGGCCCAAAAGGAAAAACTCAAACAAGATAATATCTGCTAGCGATGAGTTTGAACCGTTATAAAGTTGTCATTGTAAGTTTACAACAATAATAGTTTGAAATTGGTCGGGTATATTTACCTTTTTTTTATTAAAAATAAAATAAAATTACTCCAAAATCTAATTGAATATGTGACAATATAGATCGAGAGGAAAAATCTAACTAATGAGACTCACCCTACAAACTATAGCAAAAACTAGTATCAACATAGCCTAAGTTAGGGGAACCGCACTCCAAATATGACCATCAAAGCCCAAACACTCCTCCTTTGAGTCGAACAAAATGGTAAACCACGACATTTTCTTGTCGTGGTCACATCCGCTTACAAAAGATAGGTCTAGAAATTTGTAACATAGCTCCCTATTGGCACTACACTCCAGTCAACTTCTCAACTAAGCCACTTTCACCGTTTTTATTCACAAGAATATTTAACAATTTTCTCTTATATATATATATATATAAAAGGGATAAAATTGAAAATAAAAAAGTATATTAAATTAACCTAAATAAAAATGACAACTTTTAAAAACAAATCCTTCCCCTCTCTTAAAGATTCCCTCATGGGCCCTTTGATTTCTCCACCAAATGAAAGGGAAGAACAAAGAAGAGAATTTTGGTCGTAATTAAGAACATAAATTCACATTAATTAGCTTAATTAAAACATATTTACAACATAAATTTGTTCATAAAAAAGCATAGTTAGCTCTAGAAATTCAATATATTGCTAGGAGTTGTGAAATTAAGAAGCCATGGACTGTTGAATTGGTTCCAAAACTGGTCTTGAGTCCAATCCATGTTCATCTTTGGAACTTGCAGATCAGTCAGCATTTCAAACCCTTTCGGAATCTGTAAACCCGTCCTAGACGTCGAGGACGATGACGACGACAACAACCCTCCGACCTCCCTGGTCCCGGTCTCGGTTCCTTTCGAGTCGACTTCTTCTTCCTCTTCCGCTCGATATTCCCCACAACTCGTCTCTTTTTTCATCACCATTTCGCTCGAATTCAGCCTTGGAATTTGACTGCTAAATGAGTCTTGATCTTCTTCAGCCATTAAAGGAGTAGCATTATTCAGCTGCAAGCTCTTTGTCTCTTCCTCCACTGCCCTTTGCTCCAATACCTTCAATGAAGTAGCTTTTCGGTATATCTTGCAAAGCACGACCTCCTGTAAATCAATTTGTACGGTTTGAGTTGGGTTATAAAATTATTTAAGTTAACATGACGACGTAAAAGATTCTTACTTTCGGGAGAGACGAATTATCGGGAAGACGATACTCGTTCATGACCCAATCGGTCTTGCTTCCTCTCGGCGCTCTTCCTTTGTAAAAAACAAGGGTTTTCCTTAAACCAATCAATTTCTTAGGATCCGACAAGCTCAAGATTCTCTTGTCGGAGCCGGTGGCTTTCCAGTAGCCAATACCGGTGGTCCGGTTGGGTCTTCCGCCGCCACAACCACCGTGTTTTCTGTCTCTAGGTACAAAAAAGTACCATTCTCTCTCACCATTCTTAGCCAAATCTATTAAAAACAAAAATAAATCAAAATTAACCTTAAAATCCTCAAAACCCTTGAAGGCTTTTTAATAAAAACATTAAAAAAAAAAAAAATCATTACCAGGTAAGTCCCATGGGTCGTGTTGGTAAATGTTGAGAAATCCAATAACGTCGAAGCTATGTCGGGCTTTGCCGAAAACAATATGTTTGAGATAGAATTCGAGAAGTTCTTCTTCTGTCGGGTGGAAGCGAAAGCCTGGGAGCTGGCCGAGCTGATGGGCTGTGTCCGCCATGGAAGCTTTTACTTGAAGCTTAATTGGTTTGGTGGGTTTTCATATAGAAATTTCATGGAAAGGAAGACATATTTATATATGTGAAAGGGACGACAAGGGATGGCCCAAAAGACTTGGTCTTTGAAAGAGAAAGGACCCAAAATAATTTGATGTTCTATGTGTGGATCATAACCCTACTCATCGATCTTCTAGTCAGTCTTCGATAAGAATCCATAGAATTATTGAACAACTCGACTGTTATTAGCCTAGCTAGCTAGATCTTGACATATACTTTCTTTTCCTATTGTTTTTAAAAATAAAATCGTTAAAATAGCACTACAGACGAACTCGAGACATAGGACGAAAAGGAAAAAGAGAAAACATATACACTGTCTAACTTGTTCAAAGGTTTGCGGGAATCTCTTCTATTCAATTTCTTTTTTAACTCCTCTTTACCATTGTTTATTGCGTGACGCACGGTGTTATCTAGGTCGTCATTTTTTGCATGTGTTGTATGGGTTTCAATGAACCGATGATGTAACAGTCGAAGTCCACCGCTTGTAGATATTATCCGTTTTGACTCGTTACGTATCGTTATCCGCCTCACGATTTTAAAACGTGTCTATTATGGAGAGGGTTTAGGCCTATTCCAACTAGTGTTTTACACCACGAGGTTGATGACGATACGTAATAGTCTAAAACGAACAATATCTGTCAGCGGTGGGCTTGAGCTAATACAAATAGCATAAGAGTCATTCACTAGACAGTACGAGGCACTAGTCGGAATAGGGCTAGACTCTTTGCGTAGAGTAAACATGTTTTAAAATCATGAGACTAACACGATACGTAGTAAGTCAAAACATATAATATCTGCTGGCAATTGACTTAAATTATTACATATAATCTAAATAACTGGATTAGCCAATCCAAACCATTAGAGTTTATTAGGTCAACCTAGTCTACTCGAAAATAGTGTTCACTCACAAAATGGACTTTAATGAACTCTACCAAACAAATTTTGGCATTTTTACTCGGTCAATTTTTTGTTTTTTAAAATAAACAAAATTAAATGGTGTCACTTTCTAATTCCCAATATTTTTCAAAAAAAAAAAAAAAAATCATATGTGTAATTTAACTTTAAATAAATTCCTGAAATTGTATGTTTAATTATTTATTTATTTTAAGATTAAGGTAAGGGAGATTAGAACTTAGAGCCAATAATCAAAATAGTAATAATAATTTAAAAGGAAAAAGAAATACATTCGGCTTAATTTACGCTAGAATGTTGAAAGAGATGTCTATAATTTTTTTTTAATATTAATTAATATTCCTTTATAATATATGATATTTGCATTTAAATGATTATTTTTTTATGTCAACTAATATTAAAAATTACTCACGGTAAATTTCAACTCGAATCTTTCTTTTATTTTTTTTTATTTTTTTTTTGTAAAAATAGAGATTAAAATAGGAGATAGTGACTCGTCCCGCCGTGCCACATGTCATTGGCTAAGTGGTGGGTATGCATTGGTAATTAAAAGAGTATGATATTCCAAAGTGGATGGAGCCCACACGGTTAGAGATTATAAGGGAAAATCATCATAGTGTTGACTTATTTTATTTATTTGGACTTTTACTTGGAATTCCAATTTGTGGAAATCCCACCAAAATTTCCACCACATCATTCCATTCTTTTTCCTTTTACTTTTTCAGCTTAATTAAATATATATATATATATATATATATATATATATATATATATATATATATATATATCCTAAATTTCCGTTCAGACATAAATGAAATTAACATTATTTTTTCTCATAATAAATTGCATTAAAAATCATATAACATATTTATGAATTTAAATATTATTTTAATTTATATCGTATTTTAAACCTGACAGACAATTACATAATCGATAACTAGACAAGATAATGTGACATAATTTATAAGTTAATATATTGCTTGAAAAGAATATATATTTATGTATGATACGTTATATTTTATAACGCTACATTTTTAAATTTGTTCCAAATTTAGAAAATTAATTAATTTTCACATTATAAAAGGAAAAGAAATTCCAAAGGAACCGCGTATTGTACAATTGCAAGGTCACAAAAGTCTATAAAGAAAATGATGGAAGGAAAAAAAAAAATCATTAATAATAATAATTATTATTTGGCCTCCGCGTTCCAACAGCTATTTTGAAATAATACCAAAAAAAAATATGGAAAATATTTTTGAAAATTGGGAAAAGGAACACTTGATTGCTGCCTTGACTAGGGAGTCTGCTTTATCTTTATTTTTTAATTTAAATTTTTACAGTAAAATATTAAAATATTATAAATTTTAAAATATAAAAGCTAAATTAATAGGATGGAAAGTGAATTTTGACCTAAATTTAAAAGTACATTTTGTCAAATTTTTATTTATTTATTTATGGAATTAAAATTTATAAGTTTAGCTTTTGAAATAAAATTTTGGATGATTAATTAAAAATAAATGTTATAAAATAAAGAAGTGGTAGGTTGAAAAATAGTTTTGTGAATTTTTTTTATTATTTTACAAATAATTTTCCCACGTAAAAACAATTAAAAACGTTAGGATTAATATATTTTAATTATAATTGACATGTACTTCTTTTCAATTTTTAATAAATAATCAAATTTATTTTTTTATGAAATGGTTTTTTTAAAATGTGAGTCCATGTATTAAATGGGCCTAAATTTGATTAGTGGGCTTAATAAATTTTGTCTCAATTTCTAGACCCTTAATTGATAAGTCGAGTCTAGTCGATGCATTAGATTTGGACAGACAAGAAAGACACTCAGACAAAAGTGGTATTGTGCCCAACAGACTGCAATGCTAAAATCGATATCGATGCCTAGCCTAAAGTGAAAAGAGTTTCATAAACATAGTTGAACCATATGCGATAGGCTTTTGTTGCTCTTAGGTTTCTGGGTCTTAGTTCAATAAGCTCTTTTATAACATCCCTCGAAGCGATATCGATATAGTTGTAGGATATTCAATTAGCAATATCGATGTGGATTATAAACTTGAGACCTTGATCCTTAGATATATGGGTCTTAATTCAGTAAGCTCTTCCATATCATCCCTCGAAGCGATATCGATGTGGAGTTATTTTTTTTTGTATTTTTTTTAGTAAATAAACTTCAAAATACAAGGGTTAATACTATTTCATAAGCTTACAAACAAAAAGAGAAGGCCCCTTTGATCAAACTTGTCTCTGCGAACATTTTTTCCCATTCAATTATAGAATGGTTGATGACACGATGATGACGACCCAAAATCATCTCCTTCAAAAAAACGCCTCTTTTCAATTTCCTTCACTGAATCTTTTTCCCTTTCTTTTCATGTTCCCCTTTACATGGTGATCCGAGCGTGGAAAGTTTTGGGTTCGAACCCCACTTGTTTTTGCTGCTCAATTCCCCATCTCGCGTTGGCCATCACTTCGTCCTGTATAGGCACGTACTCCTAAACAAATGAAAATTTGATCGTCAACAGTTAAAAGGCAATCTCTGTTTCAAATTGCAACAAATTTGGAAGTTGCCCATTAACTGTTCGACGAAATGTCTGACTGAATGACTGACCTCTAGTTTCTGAACCAGGTCCTTGGCATTGGGTGCTGAGACTATGATGTTACGTTGTGATGGTTTTATGAATCCATCGTCCACTGCTTGGTCGATGAAAGTGAGAAGGTAGTTGTAGTAGCCGTCCACGTTCAGCAAGCCAACCTGAGGAGGGAAGATCAAAACCAAGCTACATGAATAGGATTTCTTGCAGAGTTTAACGAGGTAATGTTTTTTTGAGTTTACTGGTTTGTCGTGGATGCCTAGTTGAGCCCAAGTGATGACTTCTAGCAGTTCTTCCATAGTTCCATACCCACCTGAAAATCAGTGCAGTCAGGCGAAAATGAAACCCACTATGATTGTGTTTCTGAATGGGAAAGGGAAAAGGGATGGATGGGACCTGGTAGGGCTATAAAGCAATCTGAATGGCGTGCCATTTCTGCCTTCCTTTGGTGCATGTTGTCTACTGGTCTTACCTCCCCCACTGTTTCCCCTGTTATCTGCAATTTCTCCCCCAAGAAATGATCACATTTTAGAACGTGAGAGAAGAATAACCAAGTTAAATTTCAAGCTACAACTTTGAATGAGTCAAAGGAAAGTTCAACAACAAATTATGGTATTGACATATTTCTGACCTCTTTGTTCATTAATGTCCTGGGAATGATCCTGCAAATTAACCAGACCCAAACAAATTAAACAAACCAGTCTAAAATTAAAGCTTTGAAACCTCAAAACGTGTTCAGAAGAGAAGTTCAAGCTCTTTCGATCAGTTACCCTATGACTCTGCCACCACCACGATGAACAGCTTGTGAAACCAGTCCCATTAGCCCAATGCTTCCACCTCCATAAACAAGCCCCAACCTTCTTGAAACCTGCATGGAGAAAGGGAGAGAGGGGGGAAGTGTAAAAGACCAAAAATGGGTAATATTAAGATAGAGAGAGATTTTCAAAGCAATACCAGCTCCTGAGCTAAATCAATGGTTGCATCTCTATAGCAGTCTCTCTTTCCTGTGCTGCTCCCACAAAACACACAAACTCTTTTGAACCTGGACTTTACTACCTTCCCTTCCATTTCACTGCTCTGGTTTCTATCAGGAGGAGCTACATGATCAGTTATATACATGTGGATATGAAACATATACATACAAAAGAGTTAAAGGAGTTAAAGGCGAAAAGGAGAAAAGGAGAAGGGGGAAAAAAGGAAGAAAGTCTTACCATTTTTTGTACTGCAGGTTTGTGATCTACCAAACACTGTAACAATGGTCCTTAACAGTTACTTTTTCAATTACATTATACTTAAACAAGTAGAAAAACGAAGTATAAAAGCAAAAGACAAGAATCTTTCCCTTACTCGTATGAGTCTTCAATCGACTTATACTTCTCACCAACAACTCGCCAGAACACACCATAAATGACTCAGTTTCTTTACCTATTAGCTTACCATATTTATATGGATCGAGAATTTATTTCTCTTATAAGTTATAAAATCAAATTTTTGACATGTCAAGAGGCATAAATTCCATATTGTTTGAAACCCACGTGAAAAAACAACAATAAATGTGTAGCAAGAAGATTTAGTAAAAGAAATCCTTAATGGGGGAATAAGTAGATGAGGTAAGTTTTCTATGATAGTACATACTTATTGATAGTGGGTGGAATAAGTAGATGGTGGTGGGTACGTATCAAACTAAGATAAAATGGGTGAGGATTGAGAAAATTTATAGTACTGCGACAGTACACAATTCTAACATCAATATTTGATACTTAATATATTATTTTACTGCTGAAAGTTTTCTCGTGAGAAGGGTTTTCATGGTTACGTATTCAAGAGGGTCACATGAGCAAATGAACTCTTGGCCACAGAAAAGAACAGCCCCCACTCTTCTTTGTCTTCCTTTTTTTGGTGTCGATTTCTGTTTCCCCAAAAGTCTAATGGGACTCTCTAATCTACTATCCCTACAAAGTCTGAAAACATCAGTACTCTGTCTTAGACTCTTTCTGTCTGTCTTGTTTCTGGTGCAAGGCAATCATAACTTGGTGGCTAAAATGCACGAAACACGTGCAGACCCCATCTCCATCCTCCAACCTTCTCTATCACTATTTAATTTTGCTTTCATTTTCTTTTTAAAGACGTAGATTCTTATAGCAATAGAACATTGTATAAAAGTGCTGATTTTCCCCCCCATTTCCAAATCCAAATCCCAATGATTATATATCCTTACCACTGTTTTACAAGCTTACTTTTTCTGCAGTTGAATAAGAGATCTTTTTTCTGAATAAAAAAAAAAAATCATTTTATTCAATTTGTTTTTCCTTTACTAAAAACACCTTTACATTTCTTGTCTGAACTTCACGATATAATGAACTGAAAAGTTTGAGTTTCTTAGCTTACGTAGTTTAAGCTTGAATTATGTCTGCAAGAAATTTCAAAGTTTGTAAATTACACAGGCTATATTTAATTTGCGAGTTTGTAATGTGTAAAATTTGATGTATATAGTCTAAAAACGTGAGTATTAACTCATAAAGTTAATATATATGTAGTTTAGGGTAAACAAACTTACATACTGAACATGGATTCAACTTTGAACTAAAAGTTCTACCAGCTTTAAATCATCCCTTCTATGTTGGGCCATATTGTGAGATCCCACATCGGTTGGAGTCATATTGTGAGATCTCACATCTGTTGGAGAGGGCAACGAAACATTCTTATAAGAGTGTGGAAACCTCTTCCTAGCATACATGTTTTAAAACCTTGAGAGGAAGCTTGGAAGGAAAACCTAAACCGGACAATATCTGCTAACGGTGGGTTTGGACTATTACACATGTTTTTTTTTTCTCTGCATTTGAATTTGTCAAACAAGATGGTTTGCTGATGTCAAACGAGAAAGGAATCGAGTCTTATCTCATTAGACTTTTTCAACGTTATACAGCTACGTTGATTACCCACATAAAAATTAGATAGGCCCCTACTCTAGCTATTATTTTGATTACTTTCTTCATACTTTGTTGTTTTTCTCTCAATACATGTTTACATTTCTTTCTTCTACTCGTGCGTTTTTTTATTTTTTTTTAAATAAATTAAAAAAAAAATGAATAGGAGGGTACATTCAAGTGGCAGTCATTAGAAAACACAGAAACTTTAGTGCTACATCCTCTTGTGTTTGTAGTTTTATCCCCTGAGAGAATTCCAACACTCAGAAAAGAATAACTTTGAAAGTGAAGAATTGAGGAAGGGAGAGAGGGGGGCTGCATGCTGCACGGTGCTCTGCCCTGCAGGATTTTTCCTCCCACACATATCCCTTTTACCTTTCAACCTCTTCACATCTCCACAGTATTTGGATAGCTTTTCCAAACACAATGGGACCCAAGAATTGAATGGACTGTGTTTTAAGACTCCATTCGAAAACAACTCGTATCAATAGAGATGTTGTCCTTATTTTAATCTGTTTTAATACCAAACATTCCAGGTGAAATCCCAAAAAGTAACTGAAAGCTATAAGGAAAAAGATCAAAGGTTTTACTTATAAGTAAAGGAGGATAGCAAAATAAAATTTAAAAAGAAATGAAAAGAAATTTTGAGGAAATGTCAAATGTCAACAAAAAAGAGGGAGAGACGTGTGGGGAAGGGAATTTTAAGTAAGGTTAAAAGATGGTGTGTACCTAATTTTGGCTTTTTGGTACAAATCATTTGATATTACCACTCTTATTCCTTCTTCAATAGATACCAATAATAAAAGTTGAATTGGTTGTTCCAGGTACCAACACTATAATTCTCTTTTGGCTTTTCTTTAGTGTTGAAATAATGTTTCTTTTTGGTCTTTTAGATTATTACTACCCATTTAAATGTACTTTATACTGCAAATTATTGTCTTGGAAATACTCTGTTTGGGTTTTCAGGTTTCAGGTTGTAAATTTGTATAGTTCAAATGGTTCTGGTTAGGCTATGATCTTGATTATAAGATGATTGGCTCATTGTTTAGCAGAGAGTAGATCATATCCAAGAATTCTGTGAGCCTGAGATTGTGGCCTCTCATTATCCATTTCAATATCAACTACTACACCACGTTCGTGAGCTTCCACTGATGCTAAAAGAGAACACCAAACCAAAGAGATTACAAAAAACAAAAAAACTCTCCTGTTGGGGTTGATCAGTGAAGGAGTTATGAGAATTCTAATGTAAGGTGTTCTTTCAATTGGGAGCTGAACCAGATTACACCAGAGCCTATGTTCTGTTTTTTTTTTTTTTTAATTTGTGAGCCCCAAGCTTCTTTTGGAAGAAAGCATCTGTGACAGTGCCTGGTGAAAGGAAAAGGGGAAGAAGGTTGCATTTGTTGAACTCGATATTTTCTGGGTTTCCTGACGGCTTTGGGCCCTTTTTTTGCCCATTTCAGCGACAGAAATGGGCTTAGTGGCTTCATGTCGGCCCTGAAAACACTCCTTCAAATAAGCTTTTTCAGGGGAGTGGGAATTAGAGGGAATGTCATATTTTCACCCTCATTCTCAAATACAATCCAACCAACTATTCGACTTTTTAAAACCTTAGATCGATCAAGACTCGAGTTTGGTAACGAACTTGAATCGGTCTAGAGTTGTAGAAAATCGGATTGTTACATATTGTTGTATCCTAATGTCATAGCCAAAATGTTTTGATACCAATTGTTGTAGTGGAAGTAGAAACAAGATCGATCGTACTCATACACCCACAAATATAGATTAAACAAAGAGTCGCAAAGATTTATGTAGTTTGGACAAAAAGAAGTTTTCCTACATCTACGGGTGGTAACCAATTACTATAATTAAAGTGTTTACAAGTGTATACAAACTGTATCTCTCACTCTCACATTACAAAGTCTCGCTTAGAAAATTCTTCTCAATTGCCTCTAAGCAAATACAAAATGACAATGACTCCACGTCTCAAAACAATGCTAGACAAACTTTTATATAGACATAACAATACTATGTTCATACATGAATTAAGATAAGTTCATGTACCAATATGTGAGATGAATCCAAGTAGAGAATATACGAAAAGTATTCATGAACTAAATCTTCATGACGATATTCGACATATAATTTCAAATAGGACCCTCCTTTTAAGAAGAATATGAAGCAATGGGTTGAGTTATTGAGGTTTACAATAATGAATGAAATTATAATGTTGCATATAATGTTGCATGGATGCCATTAATATCATTACATTACTATCACATTTCATCATCATTGATTCAATAATTCTATTTCATTTCCTTTTCTCCATCAAAATCTTTTTAACTTAAAATTGAATTATTGGTTCATAGTACCTATGAAATTTAAGTTTTTGGTGGTTAGTACCTATAAATTCTATACCAAATTCTCTCCTTACCCCGTCTCCATAATGCCGATTTTATCTATTAATTTCCTTCTAACTTCGTGAAAAACCCCACTTGAGATCTCCTTGATCACGAACAAAGAAGTGTGGTTGTGTCTCAACTGCACACTCATTTCGTTTTACGGACCTTCGTTGGTTTCATACTTTGATTTCGAAATAACTAAACCTTTCATGGGTAAGCTTTTTTTTCTTACCCCGAGTAGACTTTTGGTATCTCCATAGTCCACAAGAAGGAAAACGTTTATTCAAATGGGAATTATGATGTTTCGATAATTAAATAGTCTCAAAAAAATATAACTAATAATATTCTCTAATCTATTTTTTAAAATATTAAATAGTAGTTTATGTTTAAAAAGGAAATTGTAATCATTACAAATTTTGTACAAATGTATTAATTGTTTAAAAAATATATTTGTTTTTTTTTTTTTTACCAACATAATTCTTTGATGGAAACTTGATTGATTGATTAAATTTTATCGAATGGTAACATTTTGGATATTTATTGTGTTTGAATTGACAGATAATAGACAGTAAATTATTTCTTTTGCTTATTCACTAATACAACTACTTTAATGCATGTCATACACGTGCTTCCTTTTTCTTGGTCGGGAAAATAGCACGTGCTTCCTTCTTTTACTTTGTTTAATTAAGATTCTAATTATTCTATTAAGAATATTTTTATTGGCTTTCCCGAGAACAAAAGCTTAACTCATTTCTAAGAGTGAAGATTATTCTTATAGACCAACACGAGTCTTTCCAACCTATTTTGTCTTGGAATTCCTATGATTGAACCACAAAGACAGAAGGCAGACCGTATTAGTATACATAGTAACTTTTAAATTATTTATGTGACATAATTCATTTATATAATCCTCCCTTAATCGAGTGTTGTATATTTGAATTTTTATTCCTCACGTGTTAATTCTAATATGTCGTAATAGTGTTTAATCGATTAAATTTTTTTAAGAAATATATATATATATATATATATATATATATATATATATATATATATATGTATGTATGTATGTATGTATGTATGTATGTATGTATGTATGTATGTATGTATGTATGTATGTATGTATGTATGTATGTATGTATGTATGTATGTATGTGTGTGTGTGAAGGGGAGTTGATAATCTTATATTATTTTTATGCATGGGAATTATTGCATATTATTGCAGTGAATGCAACGTTGAAGCTTGTAAAGAGAGAATTGCGTGTGAAAATATCATAAACATTTAATTACTCAAAATAATAAAATAAATAATTATTCAACAATTGGTAAGACATGAGATGGAGCGCATGAGCAATGAATGAAAAAGGGGCCCACCACGTTGGAGGAACCAGATATGGACGGCTGTGATCTAATGAGATATGGACGGCTGTGATCTAATGAGAGATGTTGATATAAAAATATTCCTAGAGTACCCAATCTCCTCAAAAATAAATGAAGAATTTAGGAAGGACGGAGAATGAAATAGGTGGTGAGAATAGGGAAGCCAACGTCCACGTCCTTGTCTCACCTCGTGGACGTCGCTGGTTATGGTCATGTTTGTCTAGGGTAAAAAGTACATCGAAATCATCTATAAAGTTCGATTTTCGTATAGTGACTTATTCGTCGTATTAGAACAAGTGTCTCACCATTACTATCTTGTTGCTAAGAGGATGAACTGTGATACCATGCCACCCTAAAATTTCCTATTTCGAGTTATTACGATTAATTTTTTACCAATTGTGTTCATGATCTAAAATTTTCATGACTCTCATGATAACCACGGAGCTCGTTGACTACACCTAAAAATGGAGCCGATGTTATTGGTAATAATTCATCCTTTCGCACATAAACTAGTTGATTAGTAGTGCATGAAAAGGTCAATTTGAGGTAGACGACGTTACTAATCGGGCCTCTAGCAAGTAGCAATATTGAATAATGGGTATAGTCCTTAGTGAGGTGGTCACATAGTGGTAAGGATATTACCCTATGAGTATTATGTATGGTATAGGACGCTTTTTACGTGTGGTGTGATACAAACATTACTTCTATTTATTATTTGGCTATGAGTGTCATTTAAGGATAAAATGTAGGCTTATAATTATCTAACACGAGCCTAATTTAATAATAACAATAATTGACACGTACGTATTTTCTTGAAATTTGAAAAGTTCAAATTACGTACTTGTTACATTAAAAAATATATAATAAATAAAAATTGATATCGATATAAAGCAATATATGGACAAAAACTATTTATCGACATCTTGTAAATTATCTACAAATATTTTGATGATACTCTGAAAAGTTTACGAGTGTTTTTTAAATTTGATATTAACAGCAAATGTATTTTTTAATTAAAAAATTGAAAATCCAAAGATATTTTTTTAACACTTTTTAAAAGTAAAAGTATTTTTTAAATAAAATATTTTCATTTAAAACTAATATAGGGATATTTTTGTACTTTTGAAAAATTGGAGTATTTTAATTTTTTTTAATTTTAAGGATATTATATATTTTTTAAATCTAGTGTAAAATTAAATGATATTTTTATTAGTAAAAAAATGATAATTTTATTAATTTACTCTTCTTTTCGACCAATCATATACTTGTAATCCCTATGGTTCGGGACCGCGGCGGCATATTCTTTCGTGGATTCAGTGCGGCATCATCTACGTTATATACAATGTGCATGAATGGAAACTGCCCATTTTCAGCCGTCCGATTCTGGTGATGACGCTGGCTTTCGACACGTGGCTGATTGGCATTTTAATCAATCCTGGAGCCTACGGTACATACTGTAACTCGTGCGCACATTGAAGTATTCCCGTTAAGGAGCGTTTTCTCCGGCACTCAACGGCGATGCGGCTGAGGTTGAACGAGGATCGGCGAAATATCAAGGTCATAATTGCTTTGATTGCCGATTAATTGGCTTAGTGATCATGGAATGGGAAGTGCCGTTTACAATAAATCGCGTATTGAATTCACAACAAGCGGGAAATTTATTACGGCCTTTTTAATTAATTTAAAAAATTTTAAAAATTTCATAAATTTATTAAATATAAAATTAAAAGTTTATGAGACATAATTCATAAAATTTAACATTTATAATTTAAAATTTAAGGTAAATTAACTGACATAGATGTCAAAATTGTTCAGAGTCAACGTGAGGAGACCTGCGATTGCAAGACAACTCACTTAGATGTAACGTTGTGTCCGACCACTCTTTGCTGCTTTGATAAAGACTTCTATTTGTGTTGTCGACCCGAGCATAAGTGAAGTTTTGTATGTGTGCTTAAGGCAAGTTTTACCATAATGCAGTAGGGAAGATTACACGACTCATCGAAGAAAGCCAAGTGGGCGACCACTTTTCTTAACTCTAATATCATTAAAATACATATATATACAAATCTCGTTTTACATATAAGTTTTTATTTATTAATACACTTAATTTTTTTTTGTAGTTTAAAAATGCTCTTGTTTGTAGTATTATATTTAAAAATACGCATTAAATTTCAAAAGCAATATTAACCCCTTTAAAGTTCAATCAACGCTTCGATATACGAGCTCACATCTCTTACTATGAGAACGAACGCTTCCTATTCCTCCCACCCTTACAAATCCCCAAACTCTAAATCAACGGTCCAGCTTCTCCAGGCCCACTTCACCACACAAATTATTCTTCCTCGCCACAATTTTCAATTAAATTATAAAAAAGAAAATATAATAATTTTGTCTTCCATTTCGTAGTATTATTTTCGACATTATAGACGTTAAAGAAAGAAAAAACAAAATTTATTGTTTTTTCTTTTTTTGTTGTAATTTAGCCGAGTCAGCAAGATCGTGTCCACGTCATCGTCGATAATCCATGCTGGCATAAAAAAACAAAACGGGCTGGGCCGAAATTGGAAGAATGGGCCCAGGAGAAAAGTGGGCGTGTCGTGTCGGGTGCGAAGACCTACTGTTACGGAAAGACAAAGCTGCTTGAAACGGCGTCGCTTTTGCTTTTTTACTTCGCTCCATCGTCGTCATCATCACAGGCAGTACTTTTTTAGAGAAAGAGAGAGAGAGTTGAGTCTTCAGTGGGAGTGAACCAGAGACGGGAGCTTTATTATCTTTTTTGTTTTTTTTTTTTTTTTTTTTTTTCTCTTTCTATATAGCAATCAATTATCCCTTCTTCTTCTTCTGCGGGTTCTTTTTTTTGTTTGTTTGTTTGTTTGTTTTGTATCAATTTCAGATCACCCACGCCATCCATTCCTTCGTTATCTCTCTGTTATGCATCAACGAATGTGCGCTTGAGTGTTCTTGTTTTCGATTTTGGGAGATGGGTAGTGTGTCCTCGGATGATGTTTCCGACCAACTCTGTGGGAGCTACAGTTTGAGTGCCGATGTCAGTGAATCGGAGAGTTGTAGTAGCTTCTCTTGTCGGAGGTTTGATGGCGAAGGGGCTTCCAGTTCAATGGCCTCCTCCCCACATCCCATTTCTGGGAATTTCTGCTTTCCGCTGCCGGTTTCCTTGCCTGTTCTTGGTGGGAAGAATGTTTTTGTCTGGGATGAGAAGTCTAAGAGACAGAACACTGATTTATCTGGTAATTTTGTGTCTCTTGTCGTTTGTTCTTTGTCTGGTTTGATAATGTTGGTACTGTTCATCAGAATCACTCTGTTTCATCATTTCTGAGGAAATTGAGTGAACGATTAAGGGGGTTTTCCCCCCTTTCTTTCATCCTTTTCTTTGATTCATGTAGCTGCATCAATAGATCAGGGAATGTACGGTTGAGATCGAAACTCAATTGAGGTTTCTTTTGGTTTCCTGACATTGAAGCAAGTACAACATGTTCATATTATCATATCTCTTGTTTTGTTTTATGCAGAAGTTGAGATGATGAAGGAGAGATTTGCCAAACTTCTTCTTGGTGAAGACATGTCAGGGGGAGGGAAAGGGGTTTGTACAGCCCTTGCTATCTCAAATGCCATCACCAATCTCTCTGGTAGATCTTTCATTTGAACCCCCTTTCTAAGTCATTGTAGCTATGTGTTTATTCTGATAGCGTGAAGCTTATGAACACATTTCTGATACCATTATGAAATTTCAGCTAGTATATTTGGTGAATTATGGAGATTGGAGCCCTTGGCACCACAAAAACAGGCAATGTGGCATAGAGAAATGGAATGGCTTCTATGTGTTTGTGATTCCATTGTTGAGCTTGTTCCTACTGTTCAACCTTTCCCTGGCGGAGGTACTTATGAAGTAATGATGTCGAAACCGCGCTCGGATTTGCATATGAACCTCCCTGCGTTAAAGAAGCTCGACACGTTGCTTCTTGGTATTCTTGGTGGGTTTTGTCATACAGAATTTTGGTATGTTGATCGAGGGATAGTTTTGGGTGACTTGAATGAATGTAACGAGTTCCTGCCCGGTGGGAGGCCTTCGATCAGACAAGAGGATAAGTGGTGGCTTCCATGCCCAAAAGTTCCAGCAGATGGTTTGTCTGATGATGCCAGAAAGAGGCTGCAGCAGTGCAGGGATTGTACTCATCAAATACTCAAAGCAGCCATGGCTATCAATAGTAATGTTCTTGCAGAAATGGAAGTTCCTACAGCTTATATAGAAACCTTGCCCAAGGTATAGCTTCTTCTTTGATTCATTTGCTCCTGAAAGTTCTTTGATTTTGATCACAATTTGATACCTGTTGTGATTACGTTTGATATTTATATGTTTGATTTGATGGGTCTCTTTTATTTGGAAAATCTTCATTCTGGAATTCAGTGTTCATCAGATTAAAGAACAGATGAATGATGATTAGTTTGTTTCCTTTTTCTATCCATGTGTTGGAGCAGAGTGGAAAAGCTTGCTTGGGAGATATCATTTATCGCTCGATAACCACTGACGACTTCTCTCCCGAATGCCTCCTTGATTGCTTAGACCTTTCATCAGAGCATCACACCCTGGAAATAGCAAACAGGATCGAGGCTTCGGTTCATAGTTGGAGGCAAAAAGACCATAAAAGAAGCGGTCACCGGAGCAAGGGAAGACGACCAACTTGGAGTGGCAAGGTCAAGGGCATTGTTGGAGACACTGGGAAGAGCAACAATTTGGCCCGGAGAGCAGAGATCCTGCTTGAAAGTCTAAGACTAAGATTTCCAGGATTACCACAGACAGCATTAGACATGGCCAAGATCCAATATAACAAAGTAACAATTCTTTCCATCCTTTGTCTGTGTAATTCTGAAAAATACGTTCCATCGACCAATTCGATTCTAATGCCAAGAACCTTCCTGCAGGACGTGGGGCAGTCAATTCTCGAGAGCTATTCAAGGGTAATGGAGAGTTTAGCGTTCAACATCATGGCACGGATTGACGATGTTCTATACGTAGACGATGCAATCAAGCGATGTATCGAACCAGAGTCGAACTCCGTCTTCAACAGAGGATTAGGTGGTCTTCCAATCCAGAAACGCATGTCTCCGAGCCCGTTCTCGATCCATCACAGTCCATTTGCTTCCCCATTTGCAACACCAACATTCTGTTCCTCCACACCAATTGGTGGAAGCCCAGGAAGGCTATCCCCATCCCCAACTGTAAAAAGAAGCAACATGAAAGAAGAAGCAGGAGTTGTAAGACTAAGACCAGAGAGAGAGAGGGAAGGTGATAAGGAGAAGATTTGGTCATATGCTGGGAATCTTAGTGGTAGAAGGATCTCTGGGGTGACTCCAGAGAGAGATTGATATTGTTGACAACATTCCTACTGTATTATATTACTTACTTAGCAAGTAGAAATGTAGAAGGGATGATTTTGGGATGCATTTCGTATAATAATATTGTTTTGTAATTATATGCAATGACGACTGCTTAGCCTATGCCTTTTGACTTAGCCTTTGCCTTAGGAACAGCACAGTGCGATTGGCAGAGTAATCAGGGAATATTTTTGGGATGAGAAAGTCCTGTTTCTTCCCACTATAAAGTATTAGGATTGCTGCCTTTTGAAGCAAAGATGATATCAATAATTGTTCTCTTGTGAAGCCTTTTGGAGTTCCCCATAAAAATCATAGCTACTTCTTCCCCACTTTCCTATTTTTTAGTCCGTTGTGTTGGACTTTTGATTTGGAAGCCTTTTTTTTTCATTAGGAGTATCAATATCTTATAAGCCAACAATGGAATCCATTCACACCTATCAGTCTCTCGATTTCCTAGAATTTTAAGTAACTTACTCCAAATAGTCCTGACAAAGGATGATTGAAATGAGATTCGGCATTTTTAAACCACGAAACACTTGTTTTCCATTTCGGTGGTAGGTTTAACCAAACCTACTATTACAGACGTGACAAAAAGAAATAATAGAAAAAGAGCTCCTGTATAAAAATTCTCATTAGTATGTAAATCAATCGCATACAACCATTGATAAACACTAGAATACATGTGGGCGTGAAGAGATTAAACATAAAAACTTATCGGTAAAAGTAGTGTTTGTAAGTTCAAATATTTACTTAAAAAGATGAAAACAATAGAAGAAATTAAGAAGAAACGAACATAATTTTAAAAAATGATTATCAAACGAGTCTTTAGTTATGTCTTTACAAATTTACTATACAATTAACAAAATATGATATCAACCTGCTATACAATTTTTCTTGTTAAACAAATATTTTCTAAAAAATATATGAATAATCAAAATTATTTGGCGATGATGTGTGTAATCCATTTGACATGCATGATTAATTATGTACCCCAACAGTATCAATGAATATAGTTCAATAATAATGGTTAATCCGAGCATAATTAAGACAGTCATACATGATTGAATGTCTGAACTCATACGTGCAATTCAATAATGATTGAATTTTCATTTAGTAATCTTTGCATAGAAAGATGCAGACTGCCGTAAATGAAAACCATCTCCACCAAAGTTTTTATTAGATAGGGAAAGGCTCAATCAATTCCAAGTACCCCATGAGGCCATAAGCCTTAGTCAAAAAGAAAAAGAAGAAACGATAAGCTAAAGCTACTGATATCAATTAAAGATTCATGTCCAGTACAATAAAGGGGAATTTACAAGCCCATCATCAAGATCCTCTACCCACATCACATCCATGGAAGGTTAGCAAGAGCAACAGCTAGAAACTTCAAAGCAACTATATTCAAATTAATGAAGTAAATACTTTATTTATTAACAGATTACCTTCAGCTCCAGCAGGGAGAATGGAGTTCAGATTAACAAATGGTAGAGGAAAATGTGTTCTACTTCACACGGCTGCCAAGTGATCATCATGCACCTAAGGAATTCCACCATACTACCACTTCAGATAAAATTTATGTAGGAACTGGGACAATAGGCAAAGTATAAGATATGATCATTGCAGAGCATAAAACCATCCCTTCATGGGACTCTTGTAGGCTACTACTATTGCTAGCTTTCACAACACGTTACAAATAGGACGAAGACGAAGCGTTACTTCGTTATTTCAAAAAATCAATTCCAGTAATTATCTTTAAGAAAAGTTCATGAAAGGAAACTTTTATCTCTCTGTTCAAAGGTTCTAGACAGCCACCTGATCGTTTGAAGAAATAAACTAGAGATTTTACTTCAGAAAGAACTCTATCGTCATTTAAATGTGGGTGGCATTGAAGACCTAGTGTTAGAAGATGGAAAGCTCTTTGAATAATACCTAGGATTCATGAGGAAAGCTCTTGATGTCTCCGAGTATGGACCTTGAGGCGACCACGAACTAAAAGAAAGGCCATCTTTCCTTCTGTTGACTAAAAGGAACGGGAGTTCTGATGAAGCTTTTGAGCGCAAGGTAGGAGAAAGGGATAGGTTTAGATTTCAGAAGGAACATACGGCTGGAAGAGTGTACCCTTAAATGGCTGAGAGTCCAGAAATTTGTAGATACGAAAGAAAGCTAAGTTTACCAGGATGAAGGGATCTTTATTGCAGCTGTTGTGGAGGAACTTTCGATGTGTTGCCTTGTGGAGTGTTTGATCGGAAAGAAACAGAAGATTGAAATCAAACAACGGTGTGCTTGTTTTCTTTTTCCTTTTTTGATGGAATATCTATAGTTCATTAGAAAATGAAATGCACAAACATCTCCAAATGAGCTAGAAGAAAAATCACTCCGATTTCGAGAAATCGAAGAGGGGGAATAAGTACAGAACTCCATTTCTTTCAGACCAAACGTTCCCAAAGAAACTCCAACAACATTAGGACAAAGCATATTAGGTTTCTTTTGAAAAAGACACCAACAAAGAGAGAGCATATCTTGAATCTAGTTAGGAAAAATAAAGCAAACCCCAAAGGTGTTGAGGAGATTTCACCAATATTTCTTCACAAGCTGTCCATCAATGAACAAGTGCCAACAAATTTAGAAGAACTCGTGCATAGAGCACAACAATTAAGTTGGATAGAGCAGATAGGATTCTTTTGTTTAATCTTGTCATTCGTACTAACTCCAACAATGAAAAGTGTCCAGCGAACGACTTTGACTATCTTACAGAGATTAGCTTAAAGAATGCCCCGTCTTGATCCAAGACACAGAGAAAGCTGAACTTATTGGAAAGAGATAGGGAGCATCTCCCAACCAAACCCTTTCTCTACCAAATGAAGGGCCTATAGATGGTGTAATTCAAATATAGAATTTTGAAAATATTTCTTCTTTTGATATCCATTTCAATTGAGGGGCATTTTTATCATCCCCTTTTCATGGTAGAGGGAGATTTTTTATCTTTCACCTCCTCTCCTTTCTATTTTTCTTCATCGACGAATTTGTTTGTAACAGCCCAAGCCCGTAGCTTACAAATATTGTCCTCTTTGGGTTTTTCCTTCAATGACTTTTCCTTTAAGGGCTTCCCCTCAATGTTTTAAAACTCATCTACTAGGGAGAGGTTTCCACACCCTTATAAAGAAAGCTTCGTTCCCCTCTCCAACCGATGTGGGATCTCACATTCACTCATACAAAAGTTCACCAAACATCAACATATTCAAAAATTTAAATGGAAACCAATTGAACGATCATCGAGTTCAATATATTGAGACAACCTTCAAAGCAAAGCTACCAGCTTAATCACTCACCATAAACCATTAAACATGATGTTTCCACACCCTTATAAAAAATGTTTCGTTCCCCTCCCCAACCGATGTGGGATCTCACATTGCCACTCATACAAAAGTTCACCAAACATCAACATATTCAAAAATTTAAATGGAAACCAATTGAACGATCATCGGGTTCAATATATTGAGACAACCTTCAAAGCAAAGCTACCAGCTTAATCACTCACCATAGACCATTACGCATGATGCAATGTTTCAGCAGGAAAGTGGAAAAAAAGTTCACTAAAATAACTAAATATAAATACTACTTACTCCTGATGATATGATCCAATGTGGGGGTGGCCAGAACAAGTTTGAATACCCAGGACAATCACATAAAGGTAATATGCTTCCATCCTCCAAAAAAAATATAGCAATGTCACTGCCCTTGAACACATCTTCTTCGTCCCCACTGGAGCAGAGGAAACCGTCAGTAAAGAATATGCAATTTCCTTTAACACCATATAAACCTGAAGCCAATGCAGAAAAAGAGCAATTTTCGCCCAAGAACAGCATTGTGTTACCCAAGTCACGGACAACAGTCCACTTCTTAATTCCATCCCTGCGCAGTTTAAACACCTTAAACCCAACTGTTTTTTCTTGTAGAATACCTTCAGGAAGTTCACCATCCAAACCAAAGTTCTCTTCAGAGTCTACGGTTAAATACATATCCACCAACAACAGTTCACCATTGGATTCCAACAAAATCTTCTTGTCGCCACCAAATACAGCTTCAGCAACCAAAGTGACCTTATCTTGAGATTCCACAAGGAAGGTGGCCCCAGAATTATCAACCGCATAAAAATCCCCCTTAAACAATGTCACATCATCATAAGGCAACGCAGTGTGCGGAACCGTACTCCACCGCCCATCCCCCGACTTAAACATAGCCAATCTTCCAGAAACATGAATAGTAACCAAAATAAATTCACTTCCATCGTAATTCAAACACTTGTAAGCGACTTTCTCCCTATACAAGTCGCCGGCATCGCCGGGGCGATTACTCACAGGCCAAAAATTAAGGTAGTGCAGAACATATTCCTGACAAAGCTCATTAACCGAAAAATTCAACAAGTTCAGTACCTTGGGGAAATCTTTCGGCAATGGCTTGAAGTAAGATTTTGACAGCGGGTTTGATATCTTAATCATTCCGCGCGTATCTTCTTCGACCTTGATCAACCAGCCGTCTGTGTCCCCTATTGAGGGTTCCATGGGAGACTCAACAAGAAAAACGGAGCGCTTGGTGAGATAGAAACCCCATGTGGTGTCGGATATGCCGTGATTTGGAAGAAATGGGAATCGACCCGGTGATCTATGGCGTTTGGGGTTGACGACGGATCTCCACGAGGAACACACCGATCGAAAACGCATCGTGTCGAAAGGAGTTTCGAAACGTTGAGCAATGAGGCAGAGGAGATCCCTGGGGAGATGAGACCATTCAGCCATGGATGATTCGATTAATCTGGAGCTTAAGAAATGAACACTACCGATTGAAGAAAAAGAAAAACCTCTGAGTGATGGTGATGAATCCCCCTTTTATAGATTTTTGGCCATCGCAGTTCCGGATTCTTGGCGCTTCACCGGTTATTTATTTATTTATTGAAAAAATTTATTCATTAATTTTCACCTCAATCTTTCATCTTCATTTATTTTAGTATAAAAAATAGATAAATAAATAATTTTTATCTATTCAATCTTTTCACTAATTTACTCAATATTTAAAAAATTAATTTACCCACCAATTCCTAATCAATTAATATTTATAAAGATTTGATTAAAAATATATTTTATTTTATTATTTAATTAAATTATATTTTTAATTTATAAAGATTTGATTAAAAATATATTTTATTTTATTATTTAATTAGTTTATATTTTTATTTGTATGTATTAGTTGGTAAGTCCT